GCATTCGCGAGGTGTTTGCGGAGCGTTAATACCATTAAACTTCATTATAGGCGTTTGTGGTGTGGTTTTAACGCTTTGCAAACGCCTCAAAAACGTGCATAGGGTGTTTGGGGAGCATCAAAAACGCTTCCAAAATGCCTGTCAAACGCTATAGAGGTGTTTGGCAGGAGTTAGAAATAAAGTCAAGTGTGAACATAGCCTAAAGTGTCTGCTAGTCTGCTGTCATTTTGATTGGGGGCGTCCTGTACCCTAACCCTTTCTCCTGAGTTTTCTACCGTTCTAAGAAATAAAACTCATATTGTGCATTCTAAAAGTGACTGGTGCCTATTTTTCTACACTGTCCACCACGCACCATGCCTAGCAACGTGTACCCTGTAGTGAAATGTCAGCCCTCCCTGTCTTTGGGGGTAACCACCATGCTCCTGGAGGTCCAGGGTGTGCTACAACAGCAAGCACTAAGGGGCAAACTTGCAGATGACTGATTTGTCCACTCTACTTGACTACTAATGGCTATTTTGTAGGAACCTGTGTCTAAGAGGATACAGTTATCTCCCAACCTTTGTGCACCTATTTGAACCCAGAGAGGCTATATATAGCCCCTGCTGGGTACTTTTTTGGGAACCTCTGCAGTGTACAGAGTACATCAGTAAAGATGGGTAGGAACAGACAAGACATGGTCTTGAATGCCCCTATGACTGGAGTTTAGAGAAGGACCTTGTTGCACAGCCTGCATTTGGACTGGCACATCCTTGTGCCCTACATTGCCAGCCTCACACCCTGGCCCACTGTATAGGCCTATAGGGACATGTTTAAAGGAGCTATCCTTGACCATACTACCACATTTAAATCTTGCATAATTGAACTGTGCTCTGCTACGGAACTGTATTGATGCCATACTTATACTTTGAGGGAACTTTTGGGATAACAACCATAGTGCTGTACTTTTCAGTCTATAAACAAGGAAAATCCTAGAAGGTATTGTCTCCCTTGGTCTCTTTAAATCACTTCCACACACCCCGCCCACAAGTGAATAAAATGGAGTGTTTTCATCAAGTCTGTTATCTGTCGGTGTCCAGAATAAAACTACAATATAACACAGAATTCAGTCTAAGACTGTCCATGCATAATAATCCAGACACAATGCAATGTCAAGCTCCCTACCTCTATCTTCTGAGCAGCTTTTGCCAAAGTGTTACAGATATATAAATATGGACCAAAAACCTGCTGATTATTTGGCAATGATGGCATGAAGTGTATAGGTTGTATCCAGTGTGTATGCATCTTTAAATCAGGGTTGCAATGCTATTCCTGACGATCCTTCATGTTCCAGTTTTCCCCTGGGAGGGAGCCATGTCCCTGCTCTGAGCCTGAGCATATATGAAAGAAAAGTTGGCTTCCCTTCCTGCTGGCCACTGGGTGTTGCAGACATTAGCTGTGCGATCTGTTCCAGAAAAAGGTCTGATAGCATGTAATCACACAACTGATCAGCAGATTGCACAGCTAAAGTCTGCTACACTCAGTGGTGAGCAGGGAAGAGAATGCACACCTAAAGAGATGCCAATGATGTGTTTTTCATGTAAAACTCGGGCTCACAGCTTCATCACAACCTGAAACTAATCTCTAACCCACTAATGGACAGTTAGATGTGAAAGTACACAAGATAAAAGAAGCAAACATTTGAGGCTTAGTAAAATTATTGATTTGACAGTTATTGTTAGGGTCTGATTTTAAGTTCATATGCAGTAAGTAGTTCTCGTGGTTTTATATACACTTTAAATATGGTTTTAAAGATAGGAAAAATGGTGCAGGAAATATTTACAGAAAGATATTACAAAGCAGAAATAAGCAACATTAAAATAAATAGATTTAAAAGTGAAAAAATACTTAAATTGAAGTCTGCCTGGTCTCTGGTTTAGTGCAGAGTTTACAAAATAAAAAAGCAGTGTCCAAATAAACTAAATAGAATATACAAAAACAATAACCCTAAAGATTGATACTCAAAAAGTCACACTTTCACCCTTGAAAGTCCAAAATAAATAATAAATCCCTTTTAGTGTCAGTGAATCTTCTCAATCCTTTTTTTTCTTCAATATAGTTATCCTAAATGCATGGTCGATTTCCACCGTGTACCTCCAAAAAATATATATAAGAAACTGGATAGTGTATTATCCTCAATATTCAAATGATCATAACATATATAAATACAAATGAATTACCAATATGTGATAAAACTGTGAAAAACGTGACAAAGTGAAAACACCCCGTGAGCACTTCTATGTGGCTACAGTAAATACTCTTACCCTAAATAAAATAAACAAAAGCCTTTAGGGTAATATTCCAATATGTAATCTCCAAAATTTCCTCCAAGATCATTCCATAATCGCTATGCAAGATACCAGACTATCCCATGGTCTCAAGCATTATATAAGGAAACACTTCTCAAGGCTGTCCATAGATTACCACTCAGAAGGAAAGAAAGGAATATATAGTGTAGTATTCAGATTAAATAAGTCAAGGATTTAATAAAATATGCTTACATCAGTATAGAAATAAAATTGCAAGTATTCCTATATGACAGGATCTCCAAACAGCTTCCAAGAACGCATGTATTGATGTCACCTTAGTAAAGATGGTTGCTCCGTTACTTCCGGTCAATGTGTAACGTCCGACGTCCCGTCCCTTGACGCGTTTCGTCACTTCCTGACTTCCACAGCCAGCTACAGCCTGATGTCACTCGCCACTTCCACCAATGTTCTCCCAAGGAAAGTGGCAAGTGACGTCACGCTGTAGCTGGCTGTGGTCGCCGCTGGAAGTAGTACTGGTTCGGGGAGCATGTGGCAGGCGCAGCACCCTTTGGTGCCTAGTGCGCTGTGGCATTAGAAAAATTATGCAATTGCTGTTTCTTTGATTAGACTGACTTTACTCTGTAATTCCTCCAATGCCGCTCTATGGATGCACTAGGTTTAAAGAGCACACCGAATACTTTAGTTAACTTCTTTAATAACTTCAATCTTCTTCATATAACACTGCTTACAATGGCTTATTTCTTTCATATTACAATGGTTTAATTCGTATTACATTGGGTTGATTCAATAGATTGATAAATTCGTTAGATTCGGTAAATTCGTTCGATTATGATTACTCTACAGTGACTTGATTCGTAAGTTCGATAAGTTCGTAAATTCGATAAGTTCGTAAGTTTGGTGGAACTACAAGTAAACACACACAACAGTTTTTACATACAGATCTACCTGCATTACTAAACAACAGAGGAACACACAAGTGTATTAAATACCTATTTGGCCTTCTCTGTTTCCATAAAGCTTCTCTGGAACTTGTCTGTTTCCTCTTCTGTCTGGTGAGCATGTGTCTCTAGAATATTCTAGCAGGGAGTTTTTGCACAGGCATAAATGTGAAACTGGCTGGGATTGGTTAAGGCTCTGTACAGTGTGAGGCTGTCTGTGATTGGCTCATCGTTAACTAAATCTTAAAGGCATATTTTCCTTTTCAGCTTCTGCTAACACAATGAATATATAAATGTCATATAACAATCAAAGACATAAATTACAGCAATGATTCTGCTTTTGGCTTTAACATATGCACATATACACTGTACTGAGGTTATTGGCAGGTTTGGTATACACATATATGTGAACCATATTAACAACCTAGGACTGGTCTTAGCTGGCCAGCTACAGAGCAGAGCGAGACCTTTTGATGTGAGCTGGCTGTATCATACTAAATCATCCCTAAGGGGGATCCTGCTGCTTCTTCCATTAACCTGTGAAGGGGATATCACCGCAGCGGACGGATATTATCCTTGAAGTGGGGACCAGACCGTGGATAGTCACTCTTGTTTTCTAACGGGCTTTTTGGCCCTTTTGGGTCGCTTCAAGGAGGTGAGGAGGCAATTCAGCTATTTATGGATTATTTCCTATTGGTTGTCATGCATATTCACTTCATCACCTGCACTTTCTGAAGTCGTTGGATTATTTGGTGTTTTACCCACCTTTGAACTTTCATTTATTTTTTTTTTGTCTAATTTTATTCGACACTTGAAAAGAGTTTTTTTTTAATATAATTTTTTTGTGATATCACTTTAATAATGTTTATTTATTCTTTATTATATTTTGTCTTTTAATCACTGCACTTGTCATATTTATCCCACATTTAGGGATTCACAGAGATTTTTTCACTTTTAATTGGCGAATTTATAGCCTCTGTGGTCACCATTATTATCAGCGTGATAATTGATCCCACATTTAGGGATTCACAATTTTTTATTATTTAGTAATATTATTCACAACATTGCAGTCCTATTAGGACTTTTTTACTTAATATTATTTCTTTCACTGACATTAGTTCATGTTTATAGTATTTATTCACTTTCTCGTTCCACTATGGATCCCTTAGTCGATCAGTTCACTTCATGATCTGTGAGTGATTGGTATTTATTCACTGTATTACACTGGGGGCAATTAATAGTCACATATAAGTTTGATATGAGATATTTTGGATGATTTTAACCGTTTTGTGCAATTTATTCTATTTTTATTAATTACATCTGTTATTTTGGAATATTCTAGTGTGGAAATACGGTATTATTTGGGGTAGCGCTGCACCATATTATTCTATAATTTGCACAATATCCATTTGTTATATGGTTGGGTGTTAGCAGCCCCCTCCTCTTAATTGTCATTAGTTTATTTTAGTAGCGCAGGAGGTCCATATTGTATTTATGTATATACCGTATTTTTCGCTCCGTAAGACACACCTTTTCCCCCCAAAAAAGGGGGGAAAATGTCAGTGCGTTATATGGAGGGGCTGGTCCGGTATTTCCGCCGCCGCGTCAGAATACCAGGCCGGCTGCTCAGCTATTCTCTGCAGCAGGACCTTACCTGTTCCTCGGTCCAGTGCTGTACAGTTTTCCTGCACCGGCATCTTTAGTGTAGGCACCCGGCTGTGACAGTCAGGTGCCCACTGTGTATGCGAGAGAAGCACTGCGCTTTGTGAATGGTCTGGCGTTTTCTGGGACACATGACAGGTCCCAGAAGACGCCGGGCCATTCACAAAGCGTAGTGCTTCTTGCGCATGCACAGTGGGCACCTGACTGTCACAGCCGAGTGCCCACACTAAAGGGAGGACAACTCTGCGGAAGTGGGAGCAGGTACCTGTCAAATTCAGGCACCCGCTCCCCCTCCCTCCCCAAAGGTCCACAGTCTCTGGACATCTCCTGTACTGTCTGCAGTCTCTTGGTCATCCCCTGTACTGCGTCCGCAGTCTCTGGTCATCTGTACTGTATCTGCGTATCTCTGGACATCCCCTGTACTATGTAGTCTCTGGTCATCCCCTGTACTGTCTGCAGTCTCTGGACATCCCCTGTACTATGTCCGCAGTCTCTGGTCATCCCCTGTACTGTCTGCAGTTTCTGGTCATCTCCTGTACTATGTCTGCAGTTCTGGTCTTCCCCTGTACTGTCTGCAGTTTCTGGTCATCTCCTGTACTATGTCCCGCAGTCTCTGGTCATCCCCTGTACTGTCTGCAGTCTCTGGTCATCTCCTGTACTATGTCCGCAGTCTCTGGTCATCTCCTGTACTGTGTCCGCAGTCTTTGGTCATCCCCTGTACTGTGTCCGCAGTCTCTGGTCATCCCCTGTACTGTGTCCGCAGTCTCTGGTCATCTCCTGTACTGTGTCCGCAGTCTCTGGTCATCCCTGTACTGTCTGCAGTTTCTGGTCATCTCCTGTACTATGTCCGCAGTCTCTGGTCATCCCCTGTACTGTCTGCAGTCTCTGGTCATCTCCTGTACTATGTCTGCAGTTTCTGGTCATCCCCTGTACTGTCTGCAGTTTCTGGTCATTTCCTGTACTATGTGTCCGCAGTCTCTGGTCATCCCCTGTACTGTCTGCAGTCTCTGGTCATCTCCTGTACTGTGTCCGCAGTCTCTGGTCATCCCCTGTACTGTGTCCGCAGTCTCTGGTCATCTCCTGTACTGTGCCTGCAGTCTCTGGTCATCTCCTGTACTGTGTCTGCAGTCTCTGGTCATCCCCTGTACTATGTCCGCAGTCTCTGGTCATCCCCTGTACTGTGTCCGCAGTCTCTGGTCACAGTCCCTGGTCATCTCCTGTACTATGTCCGCAGTCTCTGGTCATCTCCTGTACTATGTCCGCAGTCCCTGGTCATCTCCTGTACTATGTCCGCAGTCCCTGGTCATCTCCTGTACAGTGTCCGCAGTCTCTGGTCATCCCCTGTACTGTGTCCGCAGTCTCTGGTCATCTCCCGTACTGTGTCCGCAGTCTCTGGTCATCTCCCGTACTGTGTCCGCACTCTCTGGTCATCTCCCGTACTGTGTCCACAGTCTCTGGTCATCTCATCTCCCGTACAGTGCCCGCAGTCTCTGGTCATCTCCCGTACAGTGTCCGCAGTCTCTGGTTATCTCCCGTACAGTGTCCGCAGTCTCTGGTCATCCCCTGTACTGTCCGCAGTCTCTGGTCATCCCCTGTACTGTCTGCAGTCTCTGGTCATCTCCTGTACTATGTCCGCAGTCTCTGGCCACCTCCTGTACTGTGTCCGCAGTCTTTGGTCATCCCCTGTATTGTGCCCGCAGTCTCTGGTCATCTCCTGTACTGTGTCCGCAGTCTCTGGTCATCCCCTGTACTGTCTGCAGTTTCTGGTCATCTCCTGTACTATGTCCGCAGTCTCTGGTCATCCCCTGTACTGTCTGCAGTCTCTGGTCATCTCCTGTACTGTGTCCGCAGTCTTTGGTCATCCCCTGTACTGTGTCCGCAGTCTCTGGTCATCTCCTGTACTGTGCCCGCAGTCTCTGGTCATCTCCTGTACTGTGCCCGCAGTCTCTGGTCATCTCCTGTACTGTGTCCGCACTCTCTGGTCATCCCCTGTACTATGTCCGCAGTCTCTGGTCATCCCCTGTACTGTGTCCGCAGTCTCTGGTCACAGTCCCCTGGTCATCTCCTGTACTATGTCCGCAGTCTCTGGTCATCTCCTGTACTATGTCCGCAGTCCCTGGTCATCTCCTGTACTATGTCCGCAGTCCCTGGTCATCTCCTGTACTATGTCCGCAGTGTCTGGTCATCTCCTGTACAGTGTCCGCAGTCTCTGGTCATCCCCTGTACTGTGTCCGCAGTCTCTGGTCATCTCCCGTACTGTGTCCGCACTCTCTGGTCATCTCCCGTACTGTGTTCACAGTCTCTGGTCATCTCCCGTACAGTGCCCGCAGTCTCTGGTCATCTCCCGTACAGTGCCCGCAGTCTCTGGTCATCTCCCGTACAGTGTCCGCAGTCTCTGGTTATCTCCCGTACAGTGTCCGCAGTCTCTGGTCATCTCCTGTACTGCCTGCAGTCTCTGGTCATCCCCTGTACTGTCTGCAGTCTCTGGTCATCCCTCGTACTGTGTCCGCAGTCTCTGGTCATCTCCTGTACTGTGTCCGCAGTCTCTGGTCATCCCCTGTACTGTGTCCGCAGTCTCTGGTCATCCCCAGTCTGTACTGTGTCCGCAGTCTCTGGTCATCTCCTGTACTGTGTCCGCAGTCTCTGGTCATCTCTGTACAGTGTCCGCATTCATCTCTGTACAGTGTCCGCAGTCTCTGGTCATCTCCTGTACAGTGTCCGCAGTCTCTGGTCATCTCCTGTACAGTGTCCGCAGTCTCTGGTCATCTCCTGTACAGTATCAGCAGTCTCTGGTCATCTCCTGTACTGTCTGCAGTCTCTGGTCATCCCCTGTACTGTCTGCAGTCTCTGGTCATCCCTTGTACTATGTCCGCAGTCTCTGGTCATCTCCTGTTCTGTGTCCGCAGTCTCTGGTCATCTCCTGTACTGTCTGCAGTCTCTGGTCATCTCCTGTACTGTGTCCGCAGTCTTTGGTCATCCCCTGTACTGTGTCCGCAGTCTCTGGTCATCTCCTGTACTGTGCCCGCAGTCTTTGGTCATCTCCTGTACTGTGTCTGCACTCTCTGGTCATCTCCCGTACTGTGTCCACAGTCTCTGGTCATCTCCTGTACTGTGTCCGCAGTCTCTGGTCATCCCCTGTACTGTCTGCAGTCTTCTGGTCATCTCCTGTACTATGTCCGCAGTCTCTGGTCATCCCCTGTACTGTCTGCAGTCTCTGGTCATCTCCTGTACTGTGTCCGCAGTCTTTGGTCATCCCCTGTACTGTGTCCGCAGTCTCTGGTCATCTCCTGTACTGTGTCCGCAGTCTCTGGTCATCTCCTGTACTGTGTCTGCAGTCTCTGTCATCCCCTGTACTATGTCCGCAGTCTCTGGTCATCCCCTGTACTGTGTCCGCAGTCTCTGGTCACAGTCCCTGGTCATCTCCTGTACTATGTCCGCAGTCTCTGGTCATCTCCTGTACTATGTCCGCAGTCCCTGGTCATCTCCTGTACTATGTCCGCAGTCCCTGGTCATCTCCTGTACTATGTCCGCAGTGTCTGGTCATCTCCCTGTACAGTGTCCGCAGTCTCTGGTCATCCCCTGTACTGTGTCCGCAGTCTCTGGTCATCTCCCGTACTGTGTCCGCACTCTCTGGTCATCTCCCGTACTGTGTCCACAGTCTCTGGTCATCTCCCGTACAGTGCCCGCAGTCTCTGGTCATCTCCCGTACAGTGCCCGCAGTCTCTGGTCATCTCCCGTACAGTGTCCGCAGTCTCTGGTTATCTCCCGTACAGTGTCCGCAGTCTCTGGTCATCTCCTGTACTGCCTGCAGTCTCTGGTCATCCCCTGTACTGTCTGCAGTCTCTGGTCATCCCTCGTACTGTGTCCGCAGTCTCTGGTCATCTCCTGTACTGTGTCCGCAGTCTCTGGTCATCCCCTGTACTGTGTCCGCAGTCTCTGGTCATCCCCTGTACTATGTCCGCAGTCTCTGGTCATCTCCTGTACTGTGTCCGCAGTCTCTGGTCATCTCCTGTACAGTGTCCGCAGTCTCTGGTCATCTCCTGTACAGTGTCCGCAGTCTCTGGTCATCTCCTGTACAGTGTCCGCAGTCTCTGGTCATCTCCTGTACAGTGTCCGCAGTCTCTGGTCATCTCCTGTACTGTCTGCAGTCTCTGGTCATCTCCTGTACTGTCCCTCTGTACTGTCTGCAGTCTCTGGTCATCCCTTGTACTATGTCCCGCAGTCTCTGGCCATCCCTGTACTGTGTCCGCAGTCTCTGGTCATCTCCTGTACTGTGTCCGCAGTCTCTGGTCATCTCCTGTACTGTGTTTGCAGTCTCTGGCCATCCCCTGTACTGTGTCCGCAGTCTCTGGCCATCCCCTGTACTGTGTCCGCAGTCTCTGGTCATCTCCTGTACTGTGTCCGCAGTCTCTGGTCGCCCCCTGTACTGTGTCCGCAGTCTCTGGTCGCCCCCTGTACTGTGTACTGTGTCCGCAGTCTCTGGTCGCCCCCTGTACTGTGTCCGCAGTCTCTGGTCGCCCCCTGTACTGTGTCCGCAGTCTCTGGTCGCCCCCTGTACTGTGTCCGCAGTCTCTGGCCGTCCCCTGTACTGTGTCCGCATCTCTGGCCATCCCCTGTACTGTGTCCGCAGTCTCTGGTCATCTCCTGTACTGTGTCCGCAGTCTCTGGCCATTTCCTGTACTGTGTCCGCAGTCTCTGGTCATCCCTTTCTAAAACCTTTCTAAAACCATTCTCCTCTAAAACCTAGGCGTGTCCTATGGTCAGATGCGACTTATGGAGCACAAAATACGGTAGTTAATGTAATAAACTATATTATACTCATTGCTGTTAATCGTGTGTATGTAGCTTGTTCTGGCCGGAAGGGCGTGGTTACAAGGTCACACGCACACTGCATCACTTCCACTTGTACGGTAGACGTTAACATTACATATTGCTTGATGAACGATTTTTTCAGATTGGTTAATGTGTGCCATGATTTCGACCAACGTACGAACGCTTCTCGGTCGTCGGATGACCGATCGGGTCGATTTTCTAATCGTGTATTCCCACCTTTTCTGGGAAAATAGGTGCAAACGATCTGTGCACCAGCATTCATTACTGGGTTTAGACAGCAAATCAATTAAAAAACACACATAAAATGTTCCTGGACAGACCGTTGAAGAGGTTGTATGGACAGATGACAATGACTGGACCATTGATGTATACAGCAATGAATACAGTCATTCACACAGGAGTTAAAAGCCACCGTGCTAATTATAACATTATCACTGATAGGAGCGGTGACAGCAAATTTAGCTCTTGTGACTGAAGTGGCTCTTTTTTCCATTTGCTCGTCCAGCATCAGAAGCCCACGGACTGAAGACGGCCTCCACATCTCTGATAATAGTACAAGTGTTCCAGCAGATCTCTGCTGTAAAGTTAGGGGTGTGTCAGCTCACAGGCAGCATGATGATAAACTCAATGGGACCATCTATTTTTATCCTCCTGTTCTTTGCTTCAGCTTTCAAGGCTGCCTGAGCTTTGCTGCTCAA